ACAGCCCATGGGCTGACATCTTTCCCTTCCCTGCCCTTCGCTGACATCTTTCCCTTCCCTGCCCTTCGCTGACATCTTTCCCTTCCCTGCCCTATGTTGACATCTTTCCCTTTGCTGACATCTTTCCCTTCCCTGACATCTTTCCCTTCCCCGAGGGAAACATGCCCCGTTCGAAATAAAGCTGTATCCTGCTGAGAATTCTATCTGCGGACTCGCTCTCTCCAACATTTTTACCTATCAATAACAAAAGAAAGCCTCCCAAACAGAGAGAATAACATACATACCCAGGTCAAAAGTCACAGACAGACTCAATTCAAGCAAATGAACCACAAGTTATAGTTATGTCTACAAAATCCACCACAGAATTTATAATTAGCCTTTCAAAAGCTAAAGAGAAAATAGAAGACTCCCAAGTCAGAACAAGAAAATAAGCGAAAAACATGTAAGGGACTTCAATGCACCTGACACCATAGGTCTCAGCAGAAAAGTTATGGGCCAGAAGAGAGTGGCGTGAGATTTCAGAGTACTAAATAGAAAGAGAAAGTCTGTCAACCAAAATGAAGGGGAAATAAAGACATTCCTAGAAGAGGAAATCCCAAGTACATAGATGCCCATTGAACCTGCCCTAAAAAATGTGAAGAATTCTTTAAACTAAAAGAAACAGACACTAAAGCAAAAGAAGAAAACATTAGATGATATAAAACTCATGGGTAAGAGTAACAATGCGGACAAATTCAGAATTCCTTAATGTCCTAAACATGACATGAAGGCCACGCATATGTGTAGCATGAAGACTGAAAAAAATCAAAGTAATTAAGATAATAATAGCCCTGGTGTGTTAATAGATAGGCAGCATGAAGGAGAGAAGGGGTATCACGATGTACATTGTGGGGGGATGGGGTTAAGGCATACTGGTTTTGTAGTAAAATATTTTATTTCTGTTTATCTTTGCAATGATAGCAATTGCTGTCTTTTACTAATAGTTCATTATAATCCAATCATGTTTTTATTTTATGAATTGAATTGCTCCCCAATTCTAGAATTGAAATCTTTAATAGGTCTCATCATAACTCATCTCCAATTCGGCTCCTCCGCTGTACCCA